CAAAATACAGAAGAACACATAAAAATACACAGGACACAAATAGAAGACAATTTGTCTCCCTTTCTGGGAATTTTTTTTGAGGGTGGAGAGGTAGTGGTCTTTATGGCCTGGCCGAGTTTTTCCCCTTCAAAATTCTGCAAGTAAACATACCTTTGTGTGCCCCGGAGGACTTCTGAAGTGAAAGCTCCAGGCTTTCCAACCTTATGGCCTATGTCGTCTGGGTCACCACATTATTGTGAAAGAAATATCTCCTCTCTGAGTTCATGTGGTCAGTAGCTGCTGTCAGATATATATTCATCACAATACAGAAATGTGGAGGTAAAAATCTAGGTTTTAGTATTCTGCTCAAGCATAGGTTTGGGCCTCAGAGAACCCCTGAACCCTGTTAGAAGTCTCACAAGCCCTTTTCTAGGCAAAGTGACATCAGAATGACAGAGAAGCCATTCATTTCCATGTTGTGATCTTATACATTCCTCTCAGGCCATGAAAGTTAGAGAGAAGATAGATCCATAATCCCATGCTTCTTCAGTGGAGGTGGGACAGACTTAGTCAGACAGAGTCATAGTCTCATATATCCCCTAAACAGAGGTGGGGAACCTGCAGCCTTGAGGCCACATGTGGCCCTCTAGGTCCTCAAGTGCAGCCCTTTGGCTGAATCCAAATTTCACAGAACAAATCCCTTAATAAAAAATAAAATAAAATAAAATGTTCTGTAAACTACTACCTCTGTGACATTTCTTCCATCTGTCCCTTTCTGTTCCTACTCCCCCCTGACCCCTGCCAGGCACTTATTACCATCTACCTAGACTATCAGAATAGCCTCTTCTCAACCCTACCCCCTAATTCTTCTGATGACATTCTTTTAAAAAATATCTTCTATGGCTTTCTGTTGCCTAGTGATTAAAGTCACTCTCTGCCTGGCATTCTAAGACCTGCAGTCTGTGCCAGTCTACCTTGCTAGCTTTATCTTATATGGTTTCTGGCCTATTTAGTGCCCTTTGAATGTGTTTGACACCATTGCGCTCTTTTACCTTTGTTCATGCTATTCCTTGTACTTGAAATGCTCCCTTAATTCCTTTCTGTCTCCTGGATTCCTCGTTCTTCAGTTGTGTCAGACTCTTTGTGACCTCATGGACCATAGCACACCTATCCCTTCTCTGTCCCTCCCCCCCCATCTCTCCAAGTCTGTCCAAGCTCATTTTTGTTGCTTCCATGACACCATCTGTCTCTCTCATCCTCTGCCATCCTCTTCTCCTTTTGCTTTCAATCTTTTCCAACGTCAGTGTCTTCTCCAACGAGTCCTGCCTTTTCGTTACGTGGCCAAAGTATTTTAGCTTCAGCTTCAGTATTTGGCCGTACAATGAATAGTCTGAATTAATTTCTTTTAAGCATTGATTGATTTGATCTCCTTGCTGTCCAAGAGACTCTCAAAGCCTTCAGCATCACAGTTTGGAAGCACTGATTCTGCAGTGCTCAGATTTCCTTGTAGTCCAGCTGTCACAGCCATACATTGCTACTGGAAAAACTCATAGCTTTGACCGTGCAGACCTTTATTGACAAGGTGACATCTCTGCTTTTTAGTCTGCTGTCCAGATTTGCCAAAGCTTTTCTTCCAGGGAACAACCGTCTTTTAATCTCATGGCTGCAGTCATCATCTGCAGTGATCTCTGAGACCTGACACTTCTTCCCTTTCTTCTCCCTCTTTTGCCAGGAAATGACGGGACAATTGCCAAGATCTTGGTCTTTTTTTTTTTTTTGATGTTAAGCTTCAAGCCAGCTTTTGCACTCTCCTCTTTCGCCCTCTTCACTTTCTGCCATCAGAGTGGCACCATCTGCATGTCTGAGATGGCTGATATTTCTCTCGGCAGCCTGGATTCCAGCTTTTGATTTGTCCAGCCTGGCATTTTGCATGATGTATTCTGCATGTAAGTTAAATAAGGTGTCATGATACATCCTTGTACTCTTTTTCCAAACTTAAACCAATCAGTTGTTCCATGCTCAGTTCTCACTGTTATTTCTTGACCCACATACAGTTTTCTCAGGAGACAAGTAAGATGATTTGGTCCTCCCATGTCTGAGCACTTGCCACATTTTGTTGTGATCCACACAGTCAGAGGCTTTAGTGTAGTCAATGAAGCAGAAGTAGATGTTTTTCTAGAACCCCCTTGCTCTCTCCATAATCAGTGAATGTTGGCAATTTGGTCTGTAGTTCCTCTGCCTCTTGGAAAACCAGTTGACGCCTAGCTTGCAGAATCTTAAGCTTAAACCTTTTGGGCAGGTGAAATGAGTGGAATTGGGGCAGCTAGGTGGTGCAGTGAATAGAGCACCAGCCCTGGATTCAGGAGGACCTGTGTTCAAATCTGGCCTCAGACACATAACACTCACTAGCTGTGTGACTCTGGGCAAGTCACTTAACCCTGATTGCCTCACCAAAAAAAAAGAAAGAGTAGAATTGTTCAGTAATTTGAACATTCCTTGGCATTGCCCTTCTTCAGGATTGGAATGTCAAAGATCTTTTCCATTCCAGTGGCCACTGTGAGTTTTCCAAATTGCTGGCACATTAAGTGCAGCACTTTAACAGCATTATCTTTTTAGGGTTTTAAATAGCTCGGCTGGCATTCCGTCATCACCACCAGCCTTATTGTTAGCAGTGCTTCCTGAGGCCCACTTGACTTCATTCTGTGGGATCCTGGCTCTTGATTAGTAACTGCATCAGTGTGGTTGTCAGTGATGTTAAAATTGTTGTTGTATGGCTCTTTTGTGTATTCTTGCCACCTCTTCTTACCCTCTTCTACTTCGGTGAAGTCCTTACCATTTTTGTCTTTTCACATGCCCATTTTTGCGTGAAACTTTTCCTTGATAACTCTTATTTTCTCAAAGAGATCTTCTCTTTCCCACTTTGTTGTTTTCTTTTTTTTTTGTATTACTCATTTAATAAAACCCTTTTTTCTCTTCCTGCTATTCCCTGGAATTCTGCATTCGGTTAGGTGTATTTTTCCCTTTCTCCTTTCCCTTTTGGTTTCCTTCTTTCTTCAGCTATTTGTAAAGCCTCATCAGACCGCCATTTTGCTTTTTTGTTCTTTTTCTCTAGGATGTTTTTTATTGGTGCCTCCTCTGTAGTATTGAGAACCTCTGTGCAGAGTTCTTCAGGCCCTCTATTCTGCCGATCCTTTAATGGATCTCACTTCAGTGCCATCTTCTCTGGGAAGATTTCCCAGATTCCCTGAGTCTATAAACAGCCATCTTTCCTTTGGACCTCATATGATGCTGCATTTTCTAAGTCTCTGAAGCACCAAGATAATGTATCCTGTTGGCTCTCTTCTCTCCTAAGGTGAACTAGGGCCTTATCTAAACGTGGTGTCCCTGCCCTCCATTATCTGGTGTAGAAGGCTTCCCAAAGCAGGTGTTTAATGAATGTCTGTTGCATTGGGTTCACTTCTAGTCTAGTCCTAAGCTGGCTCAAGGTGAGAGTCTTAGAGCAGGATGAATGACGTGATCAGAGCCCTGACTTCATAGAGTGACCTGCAAGATGGATTGGGGGAGATACAGAGGAGTCCTTCTAATAGTCCACGAGAGATATGAGAGCCTGAAGTGGGGTGACAGCAGCAGAATAGCCGATGGGATACATGTGGGTGGGAAGAGAGTAAAAAATAACCAATGTGACTGATTCTGAGAGATCTGTCCACAGATATACAGTGGTTAGGAATATGATCAGATTTTAAAGGAAATATAAATGTGGGCGTAAACATTGAGCTGCCTGCCACACATGTGGTTCCAGATGTGCTCGGCTGTCCAGAGCCTTGGGGAGTGGGCTGCTAGGATGATGGGGGGGCAGGGGGTGGAAGGAGGTGGCCAAGGTAAAAGCTGTCACACATTCCACTTGACTCATAAAGTGTCTTCTTCCTGCCTCTGACTAAAGGTATGATGAGGAGAAAGAAGTTCCCCTCCAGCCAAAGGGAACTTGGACTTTAAAACACAAAATTCCCCTCCTGGTTGTCATTTCATATTAAGACAGGATAGACTGTATTAAATGTACTTCGTTATACTTTAAATTTTGAGAAACATCATGTCTGAAAAGCCTGTGACTTGTCCTTAGCTTTTTTCCTTCAATGGGCAGTGATTCTTCAAGAGGGCCTAGATGGGATTTTTTTATAAAAGCATTTTAAGTTTCCTGTTCAGGTGAAAAGCCTTCTGTGGAGCCTCGGCCTGATAATGTTGACAATGGGCCCAGCCGGGCCAGGGCTGCAGCCTTGGCTTCCTGCTGCAGTCTCCTTTCCTCCCTATACCTGGCTACTCTGTCCACCACTTTGACCTTCTGGGGATGGCTTCTCAGTACCATCCAGGTGGCCAGCAGCAATATACATAGAAATGGGCCCTCGCTGATTTTAGCCAGAGGAAATGGGTGTTAACTCTGCTGATTCCCTTAATTGAAATTTGTCTTTCCATGTGTACCTGGCAACTCTTCAGAGCTCTGTGTCAGCACATGGGTGAAAGCTAGAGTTTCTACCAGGTGTGCTGTGCTTATATGTGGTAGGTCCTTACATGGCAGATAGGGCTTCAGTTGCCCCTGGGTGGCTCTCTCTGTTCCTGTTGGGAGAGGTTGCTTTGGGTGTAGTCGCTTGAAGTAGATACTTTATAGGGGGCACATTTGGCAGAAAGATATTGAGAGGAAGGGAGCCCCTGACAGGAGGATCCTCATGGATGATGGTGGTAGGAGGCAGTGGTAGAGACCTTTGTGTTTCCTGGGCAGGCTTTCTATAATGTCTCCTTTCTGACAGCCACGAGCCCATCCTCCTTCCAGGAGTTCTTCTAGGATGCATGGTAGTTAGTGTGGGTCTCCTGAGGCTGCATTATACTTAAACAGGAATTTTACCACTGGGGCTCTCCTTGGGCTTTCTGTAAATGAGGCTCACCACTCCCGCCGTGACAGGAAACGTGTAAATCTTTTATGCTTGACCTAAAGGTAATTCACCTTGCTTCTCTTCCTCTCTCTGTTCCAGGATAAAGGTAGCAGTAATGCTCACATTGGCGAGCAAATTGAAGAGGGATGAGGGCGTTAAAGGATCCCGTCCATCTAGCGCGGTCTCGGACTCCACGCGGAGAGTGTCTGTGAGGGACAAACTGCTTGTTAAAGGTAATCAGTCAGAACACACTGGAGCTCATCGAAAGAAAGTCAGAGCAGCCTGAGCTGAACGAAGCGGCTTGTTTGAGAGCGTCTGTTCAAAGCACCACCACTCCCTAGTCCAGGCTCTGCAGGCATCAGGGACCTGGGAGATCACCCCAAAGCGCTGCCTGCATTAGAGGAGGGAACAGGCATGATGCCCGGGCATCAATTACCGAGAAAAATCTTCCCCATGTTAAGTGTCACAGTCAGCCGTTAAAGCTGGGAGGGGCCTGAGCCCATCAAGTCTAACCCCCTCATTTTACAGATGAGGAAAACTGAGACCTAGAAAGGGCAGTGACTTGCCTAAGGCCATGCCAGCTGGTAAGCGGCAGATCCAGATTGGAAGCTGGGTCTTGTGATTCTAGATCTAGGGTTCCTTCCACTCTGCCACCTGGCTCCCACCCACAGGTAGTGCCCTCTGGGGTGTAGTAGGGAAAGTGTGAGTCTTGCCCATGGCCCTTTCTCTCTGCCCCCACAGCCACTGCCTACTTCTCAGCTGGATGCCTGCAGGAGCCGCCCAGCTCCAGCTGTCTTTCCTAAATGATAGGTCTGTGCATGTCACTCCCTGCTCGATGAGCTCCAGAGGCTCCCTGCTCCCTCCAGAGCCAGATAGAACCTCAAGCTCTTCATCATGTCCACATCCATGTGGTTTCTTCCATTAGAGGGCAAGGACTCACTTTTCTTGTTCTGTTTAAACTTGCTTGTATCCCCAGTGCTTCGCAGAGTACCTGTCACGTGGTAAGTGCTTAATAAATGCTTGTTGCCTGACTGAGTCAAGAGACCTGGGTTATAATTCTACCTCCTTCTCTAACTTCCTGCATGCTATCGGTCAAAATCCTTTGTCTCTTGGGTCTCATCAGTAAAATGAAGGGATTGGACAATTGAACTCTGAGGTCCATTCAAGCTCTTAGGAACAAACCTGGAACATCTCAAACAAAATAAGGTTTTCTTAGAAGGTTAACATGAAGAATCACTTAGAACTACTATTGGGTCTGTGCCAGTGGAAGGTATTCATGGTGGAACTGATCCAGAACGTTAGTCCCTAGACCCTTTCCTTTTGAAAGAGGTTGTGTATTTTCAGCATTCATTCAGGCAACTTCTTTGAGTACGAAGGCCTATTTAGAGCCCGTGGGACACAAATATATGAGAGAAACCCTGCCCTCAGACAACTGGGAACTGGCAGTGGTTTTACCTTTGTGTTTTATATTTGGTTTGATTAAAAAGTATGTTTGCATTTGTTGGACCCGGCCATGTGGGAAGTAAGGGGCATTCTTGGACTTTGGGAGAAGCCACATTGAAATAGACATGGAACAGCTTTTGTCCACAGACTCGAGATATTTGGGTTCCTAGTACTGTGATCACCTTCTAGAGCAAAGCAGCTCAGGCACCTGTCTCTGTGCAGTGGGGAGCTTCTGGAGGCCCTGGGCCCCTCCTCCCATGAGGTCAAGCTCAGACTGGATGATGAGCTCCTGAGGGTTTTGTAGAGAGGGTACAGGTTGGGCGTAGTCCCTTCCAGCTCTGGGATTCTCTGAGGGTCCCTCTACAATTCACAGCTTCAGTTATTGGAAAGCCAGTGGACTAAACCTTGTTGCTTTTACTATAGACGAGTCTCTTAGGTGTCGTGAAACCTGAACTCCGGAATGCTGTTTGGAGCTGGCATCCTTCTGTGCAGCGAGAGAGAATTTTGTAGCAGGTTTAGACAGGTAGAATAGGTGATGGAAAGCAGCCCCTGGGAGCACTCGTGCTTCATGGAGCCCCTCCATTACGGCACTCCAGGAGAAGGGAGTGTGTAGTGATTGGGATGCTGGGAGTCTGCTCATGGCTCCCTAACGCACACAAAGTGAAGAGTTTGTCCCTAGACGTTCTTCGCGTTGATTTGACTGTAGCTCCCAGGGAAAGAGGTGGGGGGCCCCTGTGCAGCGAGAGTCAAGGTTTGACAAGATGTAGGCAAGGAGGAGTCTGGCATGTGTGTTTGAGGTCTTGCTGGATAACCCGGGAGCAGAAGAATCTGATTGATCTGTTCATTTTGGCATAGATTTCCAAATTGACACACATTTCTCGCGTGTGATTACAGGTTCTGAGGACTATCTGATGACAGGAGAAAACTGCATTATTTCTGAGTGTTGGGTGCGATTTCTCCCTTGTAAGAGTGGAGATGCTAGTTGAGCTCTGGGTAGTACATCCAGTGGCCCTTTTTCTTCCCTGTTCCCTCCCTGCCCCTCAAGGCAGCAAGTTTAGTGGACAGAGCACCTAGAGCTGGGAGAGGCCTGGGCTCTGAACCCACCTCAGACAGCCATTTGCTGGCCGTTGGCCATTGAGCAAAATGGGAGTAAAACTGCCCAGAGTGTCTGCTCCCAATGCAGACAGTTGTTGGGACCAAAGGAAATCATGGGTTTTGTAAAGAATGGTGCGTCTCTGTGAGCATCGTTGGCTGTCAGTAGCTCTGATGAGCAGCTTCTCATTTCCTCTGTGGAGTTAAATGGAAATGGTCCTGAGACAAGTCACTATCCTGCTGTTTTGTTTTGTTTAAGTTAATGTTCTCTGGATTATTGCATAGGTGGACAAAGCAAGTGTTCTTCGTAACTGAATAAAAGTATCGAGGTATAAGCATATCTCCTGAAGGCTTACTTGAAGTCATCTTCAGGACACCTCCAGTAGTCAGCAGCATGATTGGGGGAGGGGGAGCAGTGAATGTATTCCCTTTTCTTCTTGGGTAGTTCTGATTTCTTTCATTAGGTCTCTATAGCTAGGACTCTAGCTACTTTTCATGTAGCTTAGAAATTGCATATTTCATATGGTAACATCCATTTTAAAATGTTGTTGTTATGTTTTTCTGGATCAGTGTTATATCTAGACAGCTGTGAGCAGTGGTTTAGTCCATGGTGATGCTCTGGTTCCAGTACAGTTTATTTGTTGAATTTTTTTTTATAAACTTAGCCATTTTTATTTCATAATTTGTGTGTCTCTCATCATGTATAAAACAGATATCAGATATCATTAGAAAGGGCTCCATTTGCCCCAGAAGTGCATAATTTTAGAGTGTTTCTTCCTTTGAATTCTGGAGTATTCTTGACTGTTAGTAAAATGTAAAACTTTGCAATATGGAAATATCCAGTCTCTAGGTCATGTGTGAAGGCAGAACTTGTCTCATAGGAACCATTCTATACATTCCTTTATAGTTTTTTGGTTTTTTTCTTCCACACACTTGGCCCGACTTTTGTCTTTATAGAGGCCTGTGTGTATTTTTGTCACTGACCCAGAGAAAAATGAACTTTTCTCTCATTTGTAACAAGTAGCTCACCAAAAAACAAATTGTATATTTAAACTTCTAGCCACCAAAATCATGTTTTTTTGTTTGTTTTATTTTGGTTTGGTTTGGTTCTTTCAGTCTAGCAAGATTTCCAAGACTTTCTCAATTTTGTGGTTAGTTCTGTTTTTCCATATCCAATCCCTAAAATGATTCTTCAGTCCCTTTCTCTGGGTTTACAAATCTATAATGCTATTTCCCTGGAAGTTTTTCTCCTATGTCCTTTCTCTTTTCTTCCCATCACAGACATCAGAGGGCCCTCCTTGTTTGTTTCTTTGTTTTTTAATTAATTAATTGATTGATTGATTTTTAGTTTTCAGCATTCACTTCCACAAGATTTTGAGTTCCAAATTCTGGCCTTTCCTCCCTCTCAACCCACCCTCACTGAGAAGGCACGCAATTCAATGTAGGTTATACATGTGTAGTCATGCAAAACACTTCTATAACAGTCATGTTGTAAAAGACTAACTATATTTCCCTCCATCCTATCCCACTCCCACCCCCTGTTTATTCTGTTCACTCCTTTGACCTGTCCCTTCTCAAAAGTGTTTGCTTCTGATTACCTCCTCCCCCAATCTGCCCTCCCTTCTATCATTCCTCACCCCCCCATCTCCTTTCCTCCTATTTTCCTGTAGGGTAAGATAGATTTCGAAACCCAATTGAGTGTGTATGTTATTCCCTCCTTAAGCCAAATCCAATGAGAGTAAGATTCACTCATTACCTCTCACCTCCACCCTCTTCCCCTCCACTGTAAAAGCTTTTTCTTGCCTCTTTTATGTGAGATAATTTACCCCATTCTACCTCTCCCTTTGTCCTTCTCCCAGTACAATCCTCTCTCACCCATTAATTTTACTTTTTAGTTATAATCCCTTCATATTCAACTCACCCTGTGCCCTCTATCAATATATATATTCCTTCCAACTGCCCTAATACTGAGAAAGGTCTCATGAGTTACAAATATCATGTTTTCATGTAGAAATGTAAACAGTTCAACTTTAATAAGTCTCTTATGATTTCTCTTTCCTGTTTACCTTTTCATATTTCCTTTGAGTCTTTTATTTGAAAGTCAGATTTTCTGTTCAGCTCTAGTCTTTTCATCACGAATGCTTGAAGTCTTCTATTTCACTGAATGTCCATTTTTTCCCCCTGAAGAATTATACTCAGTTTTGCTGGGTACGTGATTCTTGGTTTTAATCCTATTTCCTTTGACCTCCAGAATATCGTATTTCAAGCCCTCCAATCCCTTAATATAAAAGCTGCTAAATCTTATGTTATCCTGATTCCACGATACTTGAATTGTTTCTTTCTAGATGCTTGTGATATTTTCTCCTTGACCTGGGAACTCTGGAATTCGGCTGTAACATTCCTAGGAATTTTCCTTTGGGGATCTCTTTCAGGAGGTGACTGGTGGATTCTTTCAATTTCTGTTTTGCCCTCTGGTTCTAGAATATGAGGGCAGTTTTCCTTGATAATTTCTTGAAAGATGATGTCTAGGCTCTTTTTTTGATCATAGCTTTCAGGTAATCCAATAATTTTAAGCTTATCTCTCCTGGATCATTTTCCAGGTCAGTTGTTTTTCCAGTGAGATATTTGACATTGTCTTCTATTTTTTCATTCTTTTAGTTTTGTTTCATTGTTTCTTGATTTTTCATAAAGTCGTTAG